AGGACATGGAAGCATGGAAGCAAGCTTGTCTCTTTCTTTCGGGAATGCTTAAGTAAATAAGCTTGATTTAATATAAGCAGGTACTAGGAGTATCCGTGTGGCAGTTAAAGCAAATATCAAGTACAAGAACTAATGAATCAACTATACCTGTCGTATCCGGAATAGAGGATGTCCACGTGTTCCAGCCGTGAGTTAGATTCCCTGATCTGCGATATGCCAGAGATGTCGGTCACGTAATGCCACGGAGCGTCTTGAAAATCGATCCCCATCCAGTGATATTCATGGCCTAGAAATGTTGGGGGGCCCCAGCAGAAAACGCCGATATCATCTTCGCCCTGACAAAGGTTCTCCGCTAATGCAATGACGTCATCCGTCCAATTGGCGCAGTTCCTGAGGTTCGTATCCGAACGGTTGCAAGCCGGTTTAGACATCACGAACGGCGCAGTGTCGTTCTGCCGTCGGAACCACTTCCAAAACCCACCGCTTCCAAACCCCATCGATTTGCATGCTACCTCGAAGTCCGCCTCTGTCCAGCTATGCAACATACGCAATAAACACAAAATTTTTTAACTACTTTCCGTACTTCGTGCCACGGGTACAAACGGATCGATACTTTGCCTTGTAGAACACCTGCAATCGTCCTTGACTAGTTGATGGTCCATCGACGAGTCGAAAATCCGGAAACTCCTGCTCATGTTCGTTTAGCTCCGGAATGATAGCCGGAAGCAGTTGGATACGCAGAAAGTGATTGCCCTAAAAAAGACCTATGACCAAGGTGTTCACAATAATTTTCATCAACAACCAAAACGTTAAACAAGGGCACACTTAACACAGTGTAGACTTTCCATAAACCTCCTTTGTGGACCTCTTCCATAATGTAGACTTTCTTCGTAGTCGAAACGTTATAACAAGAAATGTTTTAAGAAACCCCACCATCATTTATTCGGTTCATCACACATTAAGTAAATCGACCTGTTTGATTGAAAGGTTGCATACCTTTCGATTTGTAGGGCTACTATTGTCATTCTTTTTAGTACAATTACTTACTCTGGCTTGAATGAAATTTCGCTTATTAAGTTATTTTTGGCTTTCAACTCCCCACTATTGATGTTGCGAATAAAGCAACTGAAACGTTAGCGAAACATCATTTACTGATGTAGCCTCAATAAGCAGAGCCCTTCTGACTAACTGAATCCAAGAAAGAAATCAGAGCCAAAGTGTAAGCTCGCTTTGGCCATTGCTGGTAAACGTTATCGATATGCATTCTTTAAATCGATAATTTAAACCATACTAATTTGCTTAACTGTGTGCTTTAAGTGACACAATATAAATATAATGCAAATATTAAAATATACGTAAATGGTAGATGTTAGAAATTTCATAACGGTCTCGCAAGCTGTTATCCATCGGTGCGTAGCTTCACAATTTGATAAGCAATTCATACAGTTCGGCAAATAGTTCAGAGAACGTCAGCTTCTTAACTACCTGCAATTTGTCGATTTGGACACAGATTTAGAATCAATCTATTCCAAGCCAGTACTGGGTTTCTTGAAAAGATATGAATCTGAGAAAAGGAAAAGAGACCTCGTCGCTAAGACTACCAGAATGCTATTCATAGCGTGAAACTTCAAGGAAAGAACGAACGTTCAAAATCGAAAAGAGAGTTGACAGAATTATGCAATGTTACTGAAGTTATTCATAGCATAATGTACTCATAGAAAAAATCAGGAAATAAAAATAAGTAGGAACAACGTATGCCATCTCCCTGTTTGCGAATAATATTTTGGTCCTTACAAGGGCAGCAGATAAACGTTAATAAGAATCGAAGATCCGAGACGGCACCACTACAGTAAGACTGAAAATGAACCTCAAGAATACTCAGGTATTGTTTAACAAACACATGTACTCGCATCCCTATTGAAGGTAATAAACTGAGGCTTCAAGAGAGGCTACGTGTACTTCGGAAAGTTCGTCTTTGCAATGCGAAACAGATTCTGTGAAAATAACGAAGCAATAAAAATGGCGTGAAACACTTTGGGAAGATTGAAAATGCAATTATCATGGAAAGTGCCCTCGCTTGTGCTGGAAACGGATAATTTAGAGTAGTGTGTGCTCAAACTGTTAACTTACAATGCGAAATGTGTACCTCAGCCTGAAAGTTATTTGTAAACTGCAGAATACGTAACGCGGCATGGAAGGATGTATGCTGATAAAAACAAGTAAAGGTAGAAGATGAATGAGTAAATGAGAAAAAACAAAATATGAAATGTCATTGTCCAATTGATTAAATTGAAGATGCAATGGTTACAGGTAAAATCGGCCATCACTTCACCAGAGACTTACACTGGGTTCAAATGGAGAATGTGGGAAGGCTTCTAGATCGATTTCAAGCAGAACTGAAAAATTCCACTGAATCGATACGGAAAGGAATCGCTGAAAGCGGAACTTCGAAGTAGTTTTCGAGAGGCCTTCATGGAGCTTTGGATTGAAAACGGTTGATGATGATCTTAAAAAGAGTTCGAGCAAGAACAGTCTCCTTTCTCACTTAACAAACTATCAGTCTTTTTTAAATTCTAGAAGCTGGAACCAGTCATTAATTCTCCTTTCACACCAGGCACGTTGTGAAAGGTAAAAGGTCATACCGAGGGTGAGGTTGTTGCATCAGTCAATTATCAATCACTTGCCACTGTAAGGCCTTGAAATCCAGCGGAGTTTGATCATAAAGGAACATCTGAGATTAGAAAGGTTTCTGAAACTGCCACTCATGCTGTTGGAAAGGAAATGCGGGCTGTGAAACTGAATAAGTGTAGTTGAGCAATTTTGACTAAAAAGTTACTCAGGTCTATTCAGTGACAAATTCTGTCCAAACACTGCATGAAACCGATCGCCCGGGTCATACAGATAATGCTGTACTATACTCACTGATTGAGTTTTATTGAGCATCGATTTACAGCTGCTGGTGGATGAACTTGCCTTCGGCCATTTATTATCCAGGAAGATATAGAAATCCCAAAACGCAGAGGAAAAATGGTAAAATTTTAAACGAACATCATCATATAGATACTATATCGTGCCTGCGTTGTTTGGTATATAATTATAAAATAGCGATATTGAGAAGGATAATGCAGTAATAGATTTAAAGTGAATAATGTAGTAATATTGTTAACCTAATAATACCGGTATGTGATGTAGAAGCACACAAATAAAAGATTTTATAAAGTGTTGCTTTGAGCGATGGATCAGAAGGAGAGGTCATTAGGTGCTGTTCCAACAAACAGTGAATCGATGCCACTTTCCATACCCATTTGTTAAATCAAGATAATATGTTTTCTTACCTTATGCTTTAAATGACGCCTTTTATTGTTCTGTTAACCACGGAATCAAACAATGAACCCATTTTCAACCAATCATCACCCAGTACTGATATGAGCTTAAGAGGTGAATTTATGATGGGCTAAACTGTGTCGTTGCGTTTGCCGCAAGCAACACAGAAACAGAAACGGAAAGTTTCTAAGCGCTGGATTATCGTTCTCTCTTACTTTTTCGTTACTGGGAGCCATTTGTAGAACCATTCGTTTAATGAGACTTGTGGTGTTGCAATTATTACCGTTTCAATACCACCTACCAAAAATCCTTACTCTAAAGGCAGGGTCTACCGCAGTTATGTTGTACGCGCGGCGTGTAGCCTCATGTTTTTTTTATACAAAATGGCACTCTTTCATCTACCCTGGGAGGATGAAAAGCAGGTTAACCGATCGGGAATTGAACTCAAGACGCTTTGCACACAGAGCAACTGCCGGCTGTTCTACTGAGCTCAGATGGCTATGGAACAACGAAACCTTGAACTTCATGCTGAAACGACAAAAGACTGCAGTGGGTTCAGACAGGTGTTGCGGATTAGACGGTCCCACGCTCTTTGAAACTTCAAACGTTTACACAGTGAATAGCAGACGCGTTTTAACAAAACCCGTTTCCTAAGACCACTTTTCATTTATTTGTTTATCAGGCTTATGGCCGCTTTTTAAGTTATTTACTTTATTGTTCACGAAGTGGGTCGTAATAATGCCTATGCTATAGAGCAGTTTCGATCATCTGCAAAAATAACGATAAAATAATAGGCGCTCCGTTGCCGGTCGCGAAATGGTTCCCACGACCTGGCCTAATATACATGAAGCCGATGTGTCGGCACGAGATGGACGGACTGGGGCGAACTCTGTTTTCTCCCACGATGGTACGTTACCTCAGTGTTCGCGGCTTCGTTGCCTCGTAGTGGAGATAAACCGTCGTAAAACGGAAATTAGGCAAATTATGTTAAGGGAGGAGATTTATTAAAGGCTGTCGAAGGACTCCAGATCTGACCTGCATACAATGAACGTCGCCTTCTGACAAAAGAAGGGAAACTGGATCACTGGCCGTGCGTGACAGATGTCAAGCGTCGAGGTCATTCGCTATGCGACAGGTCGCTTGCAGCTGAATAGGCCAAAAATTCGTTCCCGGGGGCAAATTTTCTCAGGCAACAAGTACAAAGTAATAGTACAATATGGAAAACCCGCCTTAAAATTGTTCACTACAATCCAACTTGGTCCCTCTTCTTCGTAAAGACCGCAGCGTCTGTCAGCAAAAGAGGCAATGACCAATGGGGATGACAACTCTCTATGTTATTCGAGGTTTCCTAGGGATACTTTCAATGCTGTTTCAGACAGTAAAAAGAGGAAAGGAAAGTATTTAACCGCTGATCTTCCTCACATTTTCTTGATGGGACCATTATAGCGCCCTTATGAAGTCAACGGTGGAAGATAATTTCAGTTTCCATGTCATCATCCAGTAGCGTTATATTTTAAAGGCAGAATCTGCAGCAGCTATGTAACAAGCATAATGTCTTGTTTCCTGCTTTCTTCCCATAGAGTGGTAATAAGTTTTCAAAGTTTGCAAGAAAGAAAGACGATGGACCCTGACCAAGGCTCGAATTCAGAATCTCTCGGTTAGGGAGAAAAATGGTCCACCTGTGCGCACTGATCGCCAAAGAACGCAAAGCGAAAAACAGATTTTTGCTATGGCACTGATTATCATGGAAAAGGTTAACAACCCTTGTATCATGAAGCTCCATCGTACTTAAAATTCAACGTACTAAGTGCGAGGTTCTAAAAGCTATACATAATCAAATGAGGCGATCATATTATATACATATCATTGTTCTGGTGCCTATTGTGTTTTCTGCAGCGCAGACGTGCGAAGAAGAGGTCGAAACGCTTGCCTTTGTCGATATGAAATCCAAACTCCAAATTCTAGGAATAACACGGTTTGTTTGAGTTGCTCACACCTGATTGCATAGCTCTGAGCACAAGGAAACGGTTAATATTAAAACTCTTTTAAAAACTTGCTCATTTACATTTGATCACGCAACAACGATATTTTTTAACACACAGCATGCACCTTCAAAACAAAAGAACTAAGAAGATGCAAACTCCTTTATTTATGCTCTTGTCTGCCAGAGCCACCTTGCGCACGTCATGTACAACGTTTCCATATTTCGATGTGTCGATGCTTAAATGATCCCCAAGGCAACTAGGCGCATGAGAGCGGTGCAGTACGCCGTGAACGTGAAATCTGGTCTTGGAGGAGACATTTGACATAGTTAGGTGTAGGAACAATTTATGATGTTTAGGCCATAGTATGGTACCAAAGTCGTTCTTGATGAGCGGGAGGTGGTTCTAGCGAACAACTAGGTACGAGAAGCATCTGTTACTGTAGTGCTCAAATACCGTGGAGCCGTGGCCTGCTTAAATGCCCCCCACCCAGACGAAGACAACTAGGAACGAGGAGGCGGTGTAACACGCAGTATCTTTTTCGTACGTTGGTAAAGACTGCCGAAAAACCGCAACAAAAAGTCTTACTATAACGTTAGCCGGATAGACCAATGGAAATCTTTTGGTCCGTTCATTAGAATCTTTCTAAAGTCAAGGTAATGACTGGTGGGTTCTGAACGACCACAGGGGTTCGCGTGACTAGTAGTCTGGATCTAGACAATTTTTCCCTGAACGAAGCTCGTGAAATGTACGTCATATTATCACGTGTTGAATTATTTGAAATGAAGCTGGTGCTCTGTTGTTTCTTCACTGGTACAGTATTGGCATAAGACGGCATAGCCTCTACAGTACGACTGTACAATATACGCTTTCATGGTTCATCATAATATCGTAATATCACATATACTGATATCACTGACACTGATATCATAAAAAAGAATTATATAAATTATGTAGAAAAATAGCCTTGTTTTTGTGGAATAGCTACCACACACAGCTGCTTTTCAATTCCTCTGGCAATTATGACATTTCAATTCCTGCGGCAGAATTTACTTTGCTTCTAGTCGAATAAGGGAACCAGTTAAGCAGAGAGTGAATCCTTGGTATCTGAGCACTTGCGATGCATCTCGAAGTCAGGTTGAACAATGAGGCGTCAGAGCACCAACAAAATATGTCTCTATCTGAGGGCAAATACATAGCCAAAACATACTCAATATCTGAAACGGAAGTGCTTATTAATATGAATTATAAAAGACGCGTTCAACAGGTTCTACTACACGACGTATTCCACCACCCAGTATAGTGTGTAACATATACAGTACCATCATATTGGGTAATATGTAGTGCATGGTATATTCCATAATTCTCAAATGAGCAATCAAGTTGGTCTTTGGACGAATAGGGGGCAGCCAAAGAAGATGAGAAACAAATTCTCACAACCAACTATAGTTGTCATGGATGATTGTGACATATAAGTCACAAAGCATGCCTATTATAAAAGAGAGTCTTTTCATGTCACCTCCTTGATCCAAAACTCGCTAGAAGACGTCCAGCAGCATGAAGTACGTACAGAAAAAAACGCTGATATTAGCTGATGCCAAAAATTACAAATTGCGATTACAACCGCATCGTGTAAAAGCGCAGAACTGTCAACATCTGATCTGTACATGGTTGCGCGACAGGTGCATTAAAGAAAAAGCATCAACAACTGTTCAAAGTACAGCAGAGGGCTATTCAATGGGAAGATAGGAGTTTCCAAGCTGCTGAGGAATTAACGAGACACTTTCGAAACAAAGAAAATCACAGTAAACGATGAACGCATGTAGTGATAGACTGGTAGCATAAAAGCAGCAAGCGCCCAATCAGAAGAGTTAGGCTCGGACAGGATAATTGGTCAAAAGAGATATGTAAGACATATGAACGTGCAGAGCGAGACCAGGCACCGGTGATCCTCGTTGATCACAAAAAATAGTCGGTTATTTGTTGTTGTTGCATTTTCAAGCATATAGGTTAGTTTGAAGTGTAACATAGAAGCGTTTTACAATATTTACAAGACAGAGCTTCCAGAAATTAGGCGTCTGCCACAAAGTGTCCCCGCCGCTGCTTTGCAACGCAACGCTGTCAACTTCGAAATTATCGACCGAATCTTGAAATACGAGACGGCACAACGAGTTTTAAAGAAAGAACCAAAAATAGTGTTCCCCACGGAGACGTGAAGTTGAAGAAAAATCAGGTCAGGGTCAAAGACCTGCTTTCGTCAAAGTCCAGCAACTGTAATTGTGTTTTTCACATGTGTGTATCAGCGATGGTACAAAACCAATGTCCAAACTGGTTCTTCTCATTTTCATAAACTTATTGCTGTAAGTCAATAATAAAGAGACAAAGTTTATAAGAACATTCGTCGAAAATCTATTGCCGCAACAGACTATGAAATGCCGCGGCGAGAGAGGAGGTTACTAACTCAGAACAGATAGTCTCAGCCAGCGATGGCACTCTTGATCTAGGAATAAATCGGCGGATTGAATTATCATCAGCAAAATTTTTGAAGTCATATCATACACTAAGGTTGCTGAAATGCACTGGAGTCATGGCCTATTTAATTTACTCCCGGGCGTTTAAAAGCAGGCAGTAGCAGAATGCAGAATGTCGTTTTCAAAATACGTCAATTTTATTTAAACACTCCACCTTTCAATTCTAATGGCTCTGGACGTCATACGGTATTTTCCTTACCACTCTGATGAGTGAGAATGAAACAGGAGAATATAGACTATGTTTATAACATGGCTTCTGTCGACTGTGCCTTTAAAA